CCTGACCCTAACCCTAACCCTAACCCTAACCCTAACCCTAACCCTAACCCTAACCCTAACCCTAACCCTAACCCTAACCCTAACCCTAACCCTAACCCTAACCCTAACCCTAACCCTAACCCTAACCCTAACCCTAACCCTAACCCTAACCCTAACCCTAACCCTAACCCGCACGCAAGCGCTCAACCGTACAAATTGTGGCCATGGCAGATGGTCGCACACAACGCTCCGGTGAAACACGCGCAGCAGCCACGCGCATAACGAAAGATACGGAAGAAACACACCGCACAGCGGCAAAAAGTCCATACTGAAAGGCCGCGTCTTTTCACAGGAGTTGCGGCTCACTGCGTGCATAAACTGCTAAACGGCATCCACACAACAAACGCACACACCGCCAGCAGCCACACACCAATGGACGAGGAGAAGGGACACACCGCCACCGCATCTAGTCCAATCCCACGGAAAAAGGGATACGGCCACAGACCGCTGCCGGCACACAACGCACACGGAGCAAGCAATCTCCCAAAGAGTCACACGCGGAAGCGATTCCTTATCCACCCATGACGCGGCGCCTCACTCCACGCGGTCACACGGAGTGCACTGTTTTCATAATAGAACTTACCCTTCGTCTATCCCTTGAAGATGCTTCACTTAATGATCGGTCCTAGAAAAAAATAGAATAAAAAGGAATATGTATTAATAATACGATACAGTTAAAGACAGTAATTCCTTAATAACAGAGCAATTCTGTTATCACGTCTTGTCTACAGACAGAATAATTCGCATAAATAAAACTTCTTCAATATTTTCTTACCATTAATTAAAATGCCCCTGGCATCCCTGATTTGTTTTTCTGTCATTGTGAAGGAATATCGCGTTGTAATTTTTTGGCATCTGTGCGTATTACTCCCAAAGGGGATGGTGCACTGATGTCGTATAAAAAAACGAACATTCACATGTATTAAACAACTCGAAATATGTTTTTCACCAAAAATATAAATTTCCCTTTCCCTCCCTATGTTTCTTCTGTCACTGCTATTATCACTCGCGTTGAACATTCTTAACACTTTTGTGCTGTGCTGCCGTGTGATGCTGGTGCATCCGCAACGTATGGACACACAAGTGTCTGTATATATTTATATATTTTGAAAAAAAAATTTACCATAAATCAAAATGTCTCATTCACTTTTCATTTCCTATTCTGTTTCCTGTTCTTGTTCTTCTTCCACAATTGGGGGAGCTTCTTTTCTTCTAAAGTCTCTGGATGATACAGAAACTTGGTACTGGTGTACCTCCTTCTCCCAGAACGCCACAATTTCTTTTTCAGCGGGGCTCAAATTATCGCTTTTGAGGGGACCACATCTCTGCCAGCCAGTCATGGGCGTGCTGTCTGCGTGTTGTATATAAACAATCTCCCACGACAAACCCTCAGAAAACTCCTCCCAACCTTCAAAATATTTAGCCATACGCTCATTGAACTGCCTCACAGTGCTGGGTATGGTGTGATGCGCACTCGCCGTAGTAATCTGCAGCCCAACCAGCGTCTTCGGATTTGAGTCCATGAAGAAAAAGCCGTCCACCAGCGGAAAGTTTTCAGCCTCCGGTTTGTACAGCACCTGAGACTCTATATTAATCTTCTCCTTAAAATTTTCCAGGCACTCTAAAAGACAGGGCTTGAAGGGGCGCTCATGTAGACGCACTCTCAACGCACAGCGGTGTGGTGGAGCATCTTTTTCTAGTTTCAGCTCCCTGAGTTTCGGTATTATTGCATTTACAAAGGCCTCACTTAAAAATGCAAACAAGGAATGATCTTCAAGGACTTTTGATATGAGATCGTCCTTGATAGCCAATATGAGTAAATTAAAATCATTCGGCACCATTAACTCCGCCAACTTGCATAACGTTAATTCTGCAAGGTGGGAAGATACCAGTGCATTGTAAGGCAATTCGGAATCATCTTTTCCTCGTACTCGTACGACCTTTACAAGTTTGTGAGAGACGTGGCTACCATCACACACTTTATCAGTCCCCAAAACAGAGTAATAGTTGGTATCCGGCAAGGCCATTTTATTAACTGTACTTCTGCACGAGTCGATCCGCTCTTTGTATTTGCGCTGATCAAAGACGTAGCGAAGAAGCGGTCCCACTTTATCCATTCGACCCTCCACCATCTTCATGTACACCGCTTGCACAGTTGGCTCATTGCGCTTCATACAAACGCACATCGCCTTTACATCGTCTTTCTCAGGACAATTCATTACGATTCGTACGGATCCACTTTGTTTCTCCCATTCTTTGAAGTTGCCCTCGTTCGGTGATGTCACCACAATCATGCCCCATCCC